TGTATGTATGTATCAATTGCTTGCTTGTTTGCTTGCTTTGCTTTGCTTTGCTTTGCTTTGCTTTGCTTCGCTTCGCTTCGCTTCGCTTCGCTTCGCTTCGCTTCGCTTCGCTTCGCTTCGCTTCGCTTTGCTTTGCTTTGCTTTGCTTTGCTTTGCTTTGCTTTGCTTTGCTTTGCTTTGCTTTGCTTTGCTTTGCTTTGCTTTGCTTTGCTTTGCTTTGCTTGCTTTCTGACTTGCTTGCTTGTTGCCTGCTTGCTATCCCCGACTCCCTTAGAAAGGCCGGGGATTGCCCATGTGTATTGGCTGGCTCTGGTTTGCATCACCCCTCTCAGGAGGTACCGGCATTCTCTCTCTCTCTCTCTCTCTCTGAACACATGTCTCCGTGCTTTACCACAAGTCAAGACACCGCAAGCAGCCCTCAATGGGTCCTCGTGGTGATGCTGCGACCTTCGCAAGATTGTCTGTGAGGCTGGTTGAAGCTATGGATTGACTGCAGTTCGGCGACTCAGGCAGCGTTTAGCCCTGTGGACCCCTGACTAGATTCGAGCTGAGCGGCATCAGACTTACCGAAGGTCGATCCAAGCGTGGAGCCAAAGTTAGACACGGTGCCGGACTCTCCTGCGCAATAGCAGGAATCGGCGCGATGACATGAAGTTAGGACCGGTCCCCATGAAGTTTCTTGGCTGTTGGATACATGAGGTGCCAAGCCAACCCCGGGAACGTCCTAGCGATCTGGAGTGAGACTGCATGGAGTGCGGCCTGCACAAAAGCATCCACGTGAAGAAGATGCCATTCCACATCTCTCAAGCGGAAGGAAGTGTTTCAGATTATTAGTTGTCAATCATATTGCTCACTCGGGGCAGCCACTCAAATGGGAGACACGGCGTGTTCCCACTCCTTTCGGTCGACTCCAAGGGCTACAGTGTGCCTGCACAGAACAACTGGACATTTGCGGCCTCTTCGGGAGCTGCACTGCCGCCCGGGCTCCCTGCGCAGGGGTCCCGAGAGCTGTCTGAAACGGATGGCCATTTGCTGCACTGTGGCACGTCAGAAGGCCTTGTGACACTCCGAGTGTTTCTTGGCTGGCAGTATATAAGTGCCGTCTGTCCGGCCGCTCTTGGTCAAGGAGTCTTAAGCCCTTAAACGCTGTACATGTGAAGCTCCTGGCTCGCTTTCTTCAAGCCTTCCGAGCTTCGGGATTTCTACAAAGGTAAATTGGTCTTGAATTAGAGCACATGCGCTTAGTGTCAGTGCCGGGAGAGCATGCAACTAGTATTCGGAGAGTACGCTTAAAAGCAATTCATCGCTTCAGCCCACCTCGCAACGCAGGCTTGCTGATGAACTCTGGGCGCTTGCCTCTCCGATCCTCAACTTTGAGCACCTGCAAACAGCACCAATACGGCCAATACGACTTGCCGGCTCTGGTCCACGTAACATTGACCTTTCAACGCCTGCTTTCGGCTCACTTGCCTGCCTACGTCCCAACACTGACAATGCATGACGTAATACGTAGCAGGCACACCGCATCGCCGCATTCGGTTCTTACCCATCTGCGACCTGGACTTTCCATGGGCACCAGCGGCCAGGTGATGTACGCCATGCCTACAGCAAGCACATGCATCATGGGTGCAGGCCCTCCATGTGCATCCTGAAAACGGTCAATGGGATTTTGCTGCATGGTTTCGCCGCTGGACGACCTCTGAAAACAAATGTCGCTGAGGCCTCCGAGTGCTCCTCGATGTAGCGTGGAGAGGCGTCACAAACCTGCGCAAGAACCACTTTCCTCCCTCATGCTAGGTTTGTCTCATCCATCCGTTCGTTCCTTGATCCCTGGACTCCTGCATTGCAACGTGCCACATATCAGTCTTCTCGGTACAGTCTCTTACCTCGACTGCCAGTTCTGCCCAACCAACATTCTTCGGGTCCACGTGCCAGGACCACCCGTCGCAGTCGCTGCCAGATAGAATCCTCGGTGTATGGGCCGACTGTTTTCAGATCGAGGTATCTAGCACGTGCCTGAGGCTAACCAGCATCATGTGGGTAGCGACCATTCCAAAAAGAAACTCTCCTCCAAGTACATGGCATATATGTGCACGACGTCGATGCCGCACGTTGAACACAGAACCCACGAACCCCAATTACGGCTGCACAGGGCAGTCAAGGCTCTGATGGAACACAGGGATCCTTCCCACGGCTTTGGATGACTTGTCAGTAGTCAGCGTGCCTTGCGAATAGCAAGGCAACCATAAGACATCATAAGACATTGGTTCGGTGCAATAGAATTTTGGGTGCCTCCGATCCAAACCCAGCCCCTCTAAACAGTCTCCCACCCAGATTTGAAAATGCGCTCTCTTTGCGAAGTCGGGGTGTCGAGCTACTAACACCATGCCACAGGCGGCGCACGGCGACGACTGATGTCTCAACGATGGTGACACCGAAGATTCGGAGGCAACGTGACTTCGTTCCCTTAGGAAGTGCCAGGAATGTACCTTTAACATGAATACATGTGCACACTACTGGAAACGAAAATCTGCCCTCAAGCCAGAAACTCCAGACCAACCTAGCCGATGGTGTTAGCACAACAGAGCGGCTACCGTGGCTCCGCCTGGTGGGCGAACTGCATGAGCAATGGCTGCCTCTATGAAGTCCTCGTCCTAGCGGTACTGGCATGCAGCCACATACACCCTTGAGCAGGTTCTGAGCTGCAGCACAAATTGTGCGTTGGCGGACTGTGTCCTCTACCCAAGGCGACACAGACTCGTTCTCCTTGGGACAACAAGGCCAGAAGTTGAACATGCGATCTCAACATCATGAGTCTCACCCTGGCCTGGCGACGGCAACCAATTTTCTGGAATTTTGCAGAAAGGCCCTCTGGTGCGAAAGACGCGCAGGCTACCGGAGCCACACAGCGGGCCCAAACTTGGTGAGGGCCGTAAACTTACTGGTGTCCTCCATGTTGGATTTAAAGAGAAGTTCAGAGATCGCTTATTCCATGCGACATGCCTGCGACCTGATGGCGCTCGCAACAATGATAAGGATCACCCTGGATGTTTGCAGCGACTGGCAAGGGCCCAAGCCTTAAGCTGGTCGGGTTCGGATGGGCACTACCTGTAGCCGGACTGACATCAACGACCTCAATGAGGCACCACTTTATTTCCTTTCCACAACGCTTTCAACCCGTCGTAGTCCATGGATCTATCCTGTCACGTGCCTCCGTGCAGCCATGGTGCCCCTACCCGGATTGTAACGAAGGCGCCACCCGACCGCTCGGAGCAATTGCGGGCGACCGCCACCTGACAAGGCAACCTCTCAACGCTGAGCAACCGGCGACAACAGGCTCATGGTCAGGAGCTGATCTCGCTAGGCTGAATCGCTCGAGTCATCATTTGGGTGCAAAGCATCAATTGCCGACTCTGCTACAACCCCAAAGCAGGCACAAATTTCCGTTAACAGGTATTCCTCCTACTTGCGGCTGTATCAGTCGGAAGGACGCGTTCAGACAAGCCATCGTATCTCCAAAATCTCTCTCCCGAGATTTATCTCTCCCACCACCAGGGTGTTCAACCGATCCTTGAAAGTACTCTCAACAACAGCCTACCCTTCAAGTACTTGTGCCATCTTGTGCCCCTCTGCTTTGAAATACACCGCCAAAACCCGCTCGAAGCAATAGGTAAGCGATGCCGCCTGTGCGGTGAGGATGTAAACGAGGGCACAGCGAAGGGAAAGCATGGCGGCGCAGCGACCAAAAAAGCTTGACACCTCCATGGCCAGCTCGGCGCGGTGCCCTCACTCAGCGGTCCTCAAGGGGAGGAACTTCCCGCCCTTGGCGTTGGTGAGCGGATCGCCCAGATCGAAAGACTTAGGGTTTCTACTGGTTCCTAGTAGGGAAATACGAGAATGTATTCTCTAGGGGTATGAAGGGATAACATGCCCGTAGCCCCTGAGAAATCAGTAAGAATACCATTCAAGCCTTAGGGGTGATGTATGGCCTGATGTTGAACAGCATAGCTCGCCGTAGTAAAAGGACAAGCTCCTTCAAGGAAGATGACGCGAAAGAGCCGTGCTTCAGATTAGTCTCTACTTGGCAACTCACATGAGCAGCATTGCAAGCATCCTAAGACAATTAGTTGGGTTCCCTGCTCGTCTTATTGCAAGTACTCACATGTACAACTTTCCACCTGCGGCTGCAGAGGCTCCGCAACTCCGGGAAGAGACACCTCACACAAAAGCAACGAACTTGCTAGTTGGGCAGGGCATCCCGACATGCCCTTCTTCACTGCGCTTTCTTTGCGGACCGCTGCCAACGACTACGTGCTGCCCTGCGAAAAACCTCTCGAGCAATCAAGATGAGGTGTTAAAACTCAGGGACGGCGCTTCAAGCTAATAGAGGCGCAGGTCCTCTCAATGAGAGAAATCAAGTTGCACTTAATGCAACTGCATGGAAGATAAAGAGCCTACGAAGGACTTGAAGACCTTGACTACAGAGACGCCTGCTCTAGAAGCGTCCGTCAAAATCTGTTTTACGGGCAATCTGCATCCCAACTCAGCTGCAGCTCGCGCTCTGGGCATTCCACGCTGGAGTCAAAGAGCACGAGGTCCCCAGTTTGCCTTACTTTGTTCTTGGTAGGGAACAAGGGGACACATTATGTCAGGGATTATATAGGGATTGTATTGGGTTTCGTAATTCCCTGCTAACAGCGGTAAGTTGCCAGTTCCCAGTAGATCCATCTGGATCGCTGCGCGCATACCACCTGCCCTGCCGATGCTGGTTAGTCCAAGTGGAGATCCAAAAATGCTTGATGTCGATCACTGAGTTGTGGTGAGGAGACTTCGTGTCCTGATAGCGGCAAAGCCTGATGCTGCGGGTTCCACCGTGTCCTAGGTTGAGGTCAGTGTTGAAGTAGAAGTATTGTTCACTTGTCGATGTACGCAAGATCTTGACTGACCACAAGGCGAGCCGGCACCGCGGGCATTGGACGCCCGGGTTTGTGAGGAGGATGTCGTACACAGCAAACTGATTGTTCGCTGACCCAGACAACCGTCTTCCTCCCCCATCGGCCCAGACCTGCGCCTCGAAGATGAAGTTGTGGAAGTCGTCGTTGGAAGCAGTGTGGTCCTGCTGGTAGCGGCACTGCCTGAGCGTCGCCGTCGTGCTAGTTCCACCTCCAAAGTCAAACATGCCCGGGTGCTGGGCCAAGTTGAAGAAAAAGTATTGTTCCAGACCGTAACCTTGTGGGTGCACGGTGCTCGTCACATCCAGCAAGTGTGAGTGCTGCCTGCAAGTCAGGTCCCAATTGTGTGGAACAAGATGAGTCTTGCAAAGCGGACACTGCTGTTTGTCCGGTAGGAGCAAGTCGCCAGCACGGAACTGACCAGGGGCGGGACTGTGTACCTGCCGGCCAGTGGAGTCGTGATTGAAAGACACTGCAACTTCGCGCTGGCTGTTGGGCTCATCCGTCAGCCTCCCGTCCTCGCGAGCTAGAGTCTAAACTCCTTGAACCCCCTTAGTAAGCCCTAGAATACTCCCCTAGACAATCCCTTCTATAACCCCGTTTAATGAGTTTAGACTGTATTGGCCTATGCTTTTGGAGGTTCCCTGGGCTCCTCAGCTCCTCCCCTTTTAGTACTGAAATGGGCTATCCTTAGCTCCTTAGCTCCCCCGGAAAGGTATGGGGTAGCATAGTCCTTGTGATACTGGCACTGGCGAACTGTACGTTGCACGGTAAATGCTTCACCACCCCAGTAGAGGTTGAGGTCGGCAATGGAGAATTTGAAGCTGGCCGAGTTAGCCTGGGTTGCTGTTTCAGGAACTTGTACTGAGCTGCCACAAGATGTGCATATAGGGAAACAGTAGGATGCCCTTAATATTGTAACTTCATTCGAGCTCAGAAACAGCGATCCCTAAATCCGATACCCTAGACCCCATATCCTACCCTAAATACCCAACCTTGTAGCTGCAGTCTCCTTAGACCTATAATGAGAATATGTTTAATACTCCCTTAGGGCTATACTACACTGAAAACCAGAAAAAAAGTTCCTAAGGAGACTACAGGTAGCTGCAACAACATTGGGGACCCTGACTATGGTCGGCTTTGCAGTTACGGTGATCCCCCAAATGGCCACCTCATTCCTGTCTGGGCCGATGACAACTTCCCCGTTATGATTGCCAGCATACATAGCCAGGAACCTAGGGTTTAGGGTTTGGGTTTTGGGGTTTAGGGTTTACGATTTGAATGCTGTTGAGGTGCTATGAAGAAACATCATATTTCATCTACGTTGGCTTCGGGAGGTATACACGAAACTTTCAAATTCCATTCAACAACAAACGCAGGAACCTTCCATCCAAGTACATTCGGCTGCGGTTGCCACGAAACTTGAGTTCGATCTTGTGCCACACACCTGCCTGAAAAGGAGACTTGACCCCCGTTCCATATTGGCCATATTGGTCGAAATCTTCCTCGCCGCTGTGATCTAGCGGCCACATGCCCGGTGAACCGGGAAGACAGCGCATTCTGTTGACCTGCCTCGGAAGGTAGTAGCTATCCTCCACAAGTGGGCCATAGCCATAGTTCCCCCCAATTTTCATATTGCCCCAATCCCAAGTTGCCATGGTCCAGGAAGCAGTTTACTTGCGCCCAGGAGATTCTCGTACCCGAGAAAGGTCGGTCGGTAGTCGTTGGCCAAGAATCAGCAAGATAGTCATCCTGAGCAACGCCGTTCACGTCGTCATAGTCGGCCGGCGCTCCGAAGTAACGGACCACCCTGCGCCTTGAGTTTGAAGGCAGGCACTCAGTGGCCACGCATTTGAGGCGCAGGTAAAAGCTAATCTCAGCTTGCCACGGTTCCACTGTGATCTTCATGGTGTTTGCCCCAGAGCAAGTGACGACACCATCGCCAGGAGTGCAACCGTTGTAACTGAGGAGGCTGCTACTCAACGCCAGGGTCGGCTGAAAATCGGGCTTGACATGGAGCTGGAAGTGTGTGTAGGAGTCACTTAAACCCTGGACTTTTATCGTCCGGCTGGAGAGCGGGAATTCCCACATCATGGGGACGGGAGTCGTGACTGTGGAAAGGCCGCCTGAAGTGGGCGCTGCGAAAGAGACATCATTGATGGCCACACCTTCAGGGCTCAGGGTTTATAGGGTTTAAGGCTTAGGGCTGCAAACTTAGAGCATCCAAGTGGGGATCGAAAGGTCCTTTGGAGAAATTGCTCAGGCATCCTGTGGTCGATAAGGAAAAATCGGTCAAAAGTCTTTCCCATAACAGCCATGTTGGGGACATAATTCAGATCAACCCTCCAGTCAACAGCCTGTAGACCCTCAACCTTCAGGGTTTCGTATTTAGGGTTTATTTTTTGCCTCCTACCTAGCAAGGACAAGCCCGCAATGCAGGGTAACGCAACGTCTCAGAACATGCACATCAAGCTCAGCTTTCGGCTCGATTAATTAAGTGGGCTAACCTCTCACAGGCCATCCACAACAGTTCCAGATCCAACCCATTTCAGCCGGATCAAATTGAGTCTTCAAGAGCACGACAGCTTCAGATCGGACTAACTCAGCTTCGAAGCGACAAAGACTATGCCTAGACTGCCTCGCTCACTCACCAGGTCTTCAAGAAAAGGCAGCACGGCCGAAAGCAGACGAGGTCACATGCCCACGGAGGCACTCTCCCGCGTGTCCCCCCCGACTGGCAAAATGCCATCTCACACAGGGTATTCAGGCTCCGCGAAGTCCCGTAAAGGCTTGGTCCGTGTCACCCACCATCTGTTCCAGCTTTTTGATTATGAATTACGAATTCACAGAGGCCCAAGGCAAAGTACCAATTCCATGCATGCCCAGAAAATGGCCTTGATCGGCGACCAGGCCAGTACTGAGAATGGCAAGCTTGTTTCCCACAGCCATATATCGGTACTGCGCTTTCTCCGAATCCGAAAACATGCTCCACCTCTTCATTCATCCGGGTCCAGGGCAGACCTACATGTACTTTGATGGATTCATCGACTCTCATCTCATTGTCATGCGCAACAGAGCTCATTCCAGCAAACAGCGGGCTGCCAGCTTTCCAACTATGTCCTGCGTTGTAGGCAATAACAGTAACGACTACACCAGCTGTGTCCGCCTGTGAGGCAGAAGGGCTCCAATGCAATATGTATTCGAGGTCCAGCGCAGATCCACACTTGCACAACGAAGAGCACGCTGGCAGCCTTCATGACAAGCAGCGATGTGTGCACTGCCAGTAGGGAGCGAAAAGGAAGCTCCCCAAAGTCATGTCGCACAGCACAATCAGTTGCGTCGTGATGCGCAAGCGTCGTATTCCAGAGTCAGAGATCGCTGAGGCCATGGCAAATTGAAGCGTTGTCTCCAAAGAGCAACGAAACCAAAGCGCCCAAACCAAGAACTACATGGTCCATGGGAGGATCCGAACTAGTCCATAGGGCCCTGAAAAGCAGGCAGCGGGCAGTGGAGGTGTGGTGACGACGAGTGGTGATGGGACGCATGTGTTCGAGGGCGGTGGTCGTGAGCGGTCGGCATTTTTCTGTGTTTTTTTGTGTTTTTTGTGCCGCGAGGGTGCAACGACGACGATTTCCTGGCGCTTCTGTCTTCTGTCTCAGCTCTCCTCAGTTCACCTTAACCTCTGGCTTGCTTGCTGGCTTCAGGTCTACAAAAGATACAAAAGGTACTATGCCGTAGGATGGAAGCCCCCCCCCCCCGTGGGCACATGTGTTACACACGCGCACTCAACATGAAGATGCAGCCAGCACCATGCAAGCATGTGCTAATTTGCAAATTTACAAATTCTTAATTCTGAATTGTCCGAACGAAAACTGAAAAAAAAGCCCCGCTGTCTGAATGGACCTGATGAAAGCAGGTATGGTGATGAAAACGACAGGAAAGCTGGATTCTTGCATGAACCTGAAGGACGGTTGGCATGATGATGGAGATGAATTAGGGTTTTAATTACATGCAGGCAGGGCAGCAGGTTCAGGAGTCGTCTTCATCATTGATTTGGGGTTTATAGGGAGTAGGGTTTATAGAGGATTTTGGGTTTATAGGGTTTAGGGTTTCGAGTTACATTCAGCATATGCCTCGGGGTCTAGGCCTGTTGTGAAACAGGTTCAGAGTTTAGGGCTTAGGGCTTCCGACTGTCACCCTGTTTTTTGGCTTCTCCCCTGGGCCTCGGGCTTGCGGCAGCACCAACACCCACACCCTGGGAGCGCGCTCTCGTCGTACCTGCCAGCGTTGTACCTGAAAGGTCTAGGGTTTAGGGTGTATACGGCTTGGGGTTTATAGGGTTTGAAATTTATAGGGTGTGGGGGGTTTAGGGAGCAACCCCAATATAGTCACACTATCAGAAGTATATACAGTGGGGAATATAGAGGGTTTGGGAATATGGCATTACGCGACAATGGGGCATCAACTGACCAAAAACTGGAAAGTGGGAGTCTCAAAAAGGGTATCCCGGGAAAACGAGGATTATGGGCATATTAGGGCTTGTATGGGAATGATTTTGAGAAATGCCCACATCGAAGCGTGACTTCAACTGCCAGTGATGCCAACAGGTCAAAAAACGTCAACAGACCTGCTGCAGTCATGGCACACGTATTGGTAGCCATCGCCCAGAGTGTTCCCAAAAATGCACCTTAGAAGGCTGCAGCTACCGGCCTACACAGCTGCCCGCTTAACCCTATCCTGCTCAACACCACCAAGAACACCGAAGCGCTTTTGTTCGTTGGTGCCAGTGTCGGTGGGCCAGGCTGTGCAGTCATACACTGTCATGGTGTGGCTCAAGGCCAGGAGGCGGCCCTTCCCCAAAGGGGTCGCCACCTGGAAGTTGCCACTTTCCAGGTCCAATATGTCTTGACCTGGCTGCAATGCAAAGCCTTCCTTGGTTGGCGTTTACAGGTCTTTGCAAAACATTGATAATTATGTAAGGTCCTTAGGAATTCAACCCCTAAACCCTTTTGAAACCGGACTTGATGACACCCTAAACCCTAAACCCTAAACCCTAAACAAACAACATCCCAAGGTCTGCCCAGCGTCCTCCTGCTTGAACCAAGCTGAGGCGGCAGCAGTGAGTGGCTCGACAGACTCCACCTTACTGGCGGTTGAGGGGGAGTTGGGGAAGGAATATGGGGTTTAGGGTTTCGGTTGGGGTTTAGGGTTTAGGGTCATGGGGTGTTTACGTCGGCATTTTGAAGGGGATCCGACCGCTAAACTCTCCCTTAAGCACCAGAAAGCCCACCTTCCGTCGGAGCTCGGCAAGGTCGACTGGGTTTTGCGCATGCGCATTGTCTTCTAGCGCGGATACAATGCTGAACTCCAGAATATCCGACGTCAGATCGAGGAGATCCTGGTAATGACCCACATACATTCTAAAGCCCCTACAGTTCCAAAAAACTGTCCCAGGACAAGCCCCAATCTACGCATGTCCTTGTACTTTTCCAGTACATGGTCGAACTTGGCCATCACCTTGGGAATCACGGCCATCTCCAGCTTTGTCGGCTGCTCACAAGACCGGGAGCACCAAACGTCCGAGCCACAGCACTCCAGGTTCTTGGCGGCATCCTCGGACCGACAGTAGTCAACCATCAACGACATGAGGCTCTGCTCGTTTGCCTTGGCCTTCAGCAGGTCCAAGAAGTCGCTGCTGAGCTGCTCAGTCGGGCAGCCCACCCTTTGGAAGTTTGCGGTCAACAGCTGCTCGACAAGCGGGAGGTCTCCAGGACCGTTGTTGAAGAGGTGGTCCTTGTGCTGTTGAAGCTGGCGGTAGAGGCTCTTCAAGATCCCTTGGAAGAGGGTGGCATGCACGTTCGTTAAAGCTGCCAGTGAGCCCACGACTACGGGGGTGATGTAGCCAGCGCAAGAAAGACTCCCCCAGCCATGTGTAGCGCACGGTTGAAAAAGCTTCTCTGCAAGGTGGGTGATGTCGTTCTCCAAAGACAGCGCATATGCTGCGGCAGCAGATGGTGTCAGGCTTTGTTTCTCGAAAGTTCTGGAGCGCAATCGCTTCCTGGAACTCACTTCTCAAATTGTCGAGGAGTCCTCTCACCTCTGCCATGATCTCAGCCTTCATGCCGATAATCCTGCAAGGGTGCTCTTGAAACTGCTCATCTTCCCGCTTAAGTTTCCTTACCCCGGTGCTGTTTTGAATCAGGGCCTCCGATCCACGTAATCCATCAGCTGTGCTTGCATTCGGTCCAACCTTGGCCGCGCGCAAAAACAAGATTACATGACACATAGACGGCTAGTCACAAAAAGGACGTTGCTCTGTAAAGTGGTTGCTGCTGATGTCCGGGCTTCGCAGAAAACTCCTCCTCTCCCTCGTCTAGAGGGGTGTCCATGAAGGCATCCGCAACGAGCGCTGCCAGGGCGACGGGAAGGCCGAAGTTACCACCCACAGCCAAGGTCCACGCCGCCTTTTGGGCCGCCACGAAACCGGCTTCACGATCCAGGTCCTCAAGCCTCTGGTAGTTCAGCGAGCTCTCCCCTCGGGACATCATGACAAGTTCTGGAATCATGACCCCGGCAGTGAGCAGGGCAACGTCTGTCGACGAACCCAAGACCAGCACTTCTCTTCCTCTTCCTGGGTTGCTGTTAAGGAACTTAAGTTATCGTAAAGGGTGTATATATATATATATATACATATCGTACTTAGTAATTAATATGGTGTCCCCACTTTAGCAACTCAAATTGAGTTACTCTCCAGCAACCCAGCTTCTTCTTCCTCAACGAAGGTGGAAGGTCTTTCTTTTTTCTTCCTCGTCTCACTGTTCGTGAGCCGCCTTCCCGTCGCCTGAACCTCGCCCTCCCCCTGCAAGGCTTTCACACTCGAGGCGGTGCCATTGCCCCTCAAACTCCGAACAACAGGTTGACCTGCTTCGAAGATCTGACAGAGGCCTGGCGACATTAGGGCGAAGAGCAAGGCAGGCAAGGGAGCCATGGCAAGAAGCACAAGCAGTCGCCCCAAACAATCCTTCGACTTTGACTCAAACACTGCGGACGAGCCATTTGTTGCCGCTAACCCTCAACACCCGACTGGTGAATAGCCTTCAGAGGGTCAAAAAGGTGTCTACCTAAGAGAGAGTATGGCCGTGCCGGCCTGGGTTCATTTCAAGATTTTTTTTTGCTACGAAACTGAAAAACTAATGACTGAAATGACAGCGGGCCCACGCCGAGGCTCGCGAGGTCTACAGGGTCTGCGCCGAGGCTCGCCTGTCATAACGACCCCAGGAACAACCAAAAGAGCATGGCACCGTATGAGTCGTGATACAAGATGAGTTGCAAGATACTGGAACCGAACTTGAAACGACACTCGCAGTCAGTTGCTGCAGGCCGGGGTTGACGCGTGAGTGAGTGGTTAGTAGAAGCAGCACATACTGGACATACTGCATCTCATGGAGCGGCACTCAGAGACGAAGGCCAAATCTAGACCAGTCAAAAGGCCTGTCCCGAAGAACAGGGCTGAACTGCCGGCTGATGCTGCAGGAACTACCCCTCATGCATGCTGGCCACCTTCTGAATGGTGCTTCCGCATGAAGACGAAAATGTTGAAAGCTTGAGAAACGTTCTTGGCACTTTTCCAGCCACATTCCGTTGGCCCTCGTCGCAGGGCGCAGAACTTCGGCAGAACTGTCGGGCTCTAGGGATTCAGAGTCAACGTCGCGCAGCGTCCGAAGTTGCGAGCCATCCCGACTGAATTAACCGTTGTCACCTTGACGTCATGATGCTTGACCTTGCCCTCTGCTTATCACATCTGTGAATTGGAAACGTGGCACTGAATGGCGAAAGTGGGCGCTTGTCAAGCATTGGCCCTCTCAGATGCCAGCATCTACCGGCAACTCCCTATGCGACGTACATGTGAAAACCCGGAGACCTTCAACCTTTCCTTGCACTTCATGTGTGTTTTTGTGATGTTGGCATGGCAGAGTTGACCTGTACGGAACTAACGACTCATGGGAGCAGAACGAGCCAGCAGTGAGTGGTCTATCACGATGCTACGGGTTGCACTCGGACGCTTGGACCTGTGAAACATTGCATCAGCCTGCAGAAGAGGTCAAGCTCGAGGCTCATAGATAATGAGAACCATTTCCAGGGCTGCTTTGCATGCTGGAACTGAAACATATCTCTGGCATCAAGCCAAGCCCTCTTCTGGACAGATATGTGCGGCACCAGGCGCGCAAGGCCAACAGAGGCAGCAATGCATGTAAATGAAATGCTAGCATGTTGGATTTCTTCGCTATGAAGTCGTATGTGCTGACTAGGCGACTAACCCGATGCTTATGAACCGTCGCGAGGCTGGACACCAGAAGCCAAAGACTTTGTCGTGGTTTGTGGCCTCCGCTGTTCTGCACGTGCGCTGGCATCTTCTCAGGGAGCATCTACGGGTTGACCTATGGAAGGCAGGTGCCAAGCTGGAAATCAAACCGCCACTGTTGGGAACAGCTTGCATTCCGAAAAATCGAAAACTAAGACACATTCAACTCCATGGAGCATGCCTTCCAAGCCGTCACCTGTACGCAGTTGTCTTTGACTGCGACAGAGCTTCCAGGCTAAAACGAATATGAAGCACCCTCAGCACACATCCGGCGGTAACATTCTGCTGCCACTGCTAGGCCCTTGTGAAATCATCATGCCACCTCCAAAACATGCTAGTTGCGTCTCATTACCGGACCGGCCGATATGCAATTCCAGGACCTTCTCACAAACGCAGGCGTGTCACCTACTATGATGATGATGATGCTGCAATGCCCACGACCCGCTTCCACATCACTGCAGGCTGGACTGACAGAGATGCCCACGCTTGTGAGAAAGGGAGGGCCCTCAAGTAATGTACCACAGCCGAAGCCGAATTGCGCAGACTGCGGTGAAGAAAATGTCTCCTTGAACCACGTATTTCGGCAACCTGCGTGATCTTCGCCGGCCGCGACTGAAGCAGGCACAACTTTGTGCCCACGGTGCATGAAGTCGGCTGGAGCCATCGACGAACGTGCCAGCATGAGGAGGCCCTCATTATGCCCAGCACATCCTTGCACTGAGGCTTTGTTCGGCAGGACACCGGGGCCTCGAAATGCGGCTACGTCAAGCTACGTCTATACGGCACAGTGCACCAAAACAGGCCTCCGTTGCAAGCCTGGGCTTCTGCGGCGACACATCTGTCCTCTATGAAGTCCTTTAGCCTTCTGCCCTCCTCAGGTCCGCTGGCCCGGCTAGCCATGGCTGGCCATGTCTGGCCATGCCAATCAGAGAACTTCTGCGCCAATTTCCACTCATAAGGAAATGTCCTTGCTCGCTAAATCTGGCAATCCACGCAGTAATCACGAGCGGAAGAAGACAAACACACACACACACACACGCACACTTGCGTGTGAGAATATACATGCATACATACATACATACATACATACATACATACATACTTACATACATACATATATACTGTATATACACACCTTTTTATTTATTTACATCTTTGCCAAAAAACCACTTAAAGCATTGTGGCAGTCATGACCGCACTACCTCGCTTCGGCTTTGCGCCCTTTCCGAGTGCGAGGGGCCGATGGAGAAGGCTGGACCGCGAGTAGCCAGACGAAGTGACATCTAATGTGGCGACAGGCTTGGGAAATTCATGGTGCGTGTTGGGGTTCTTCGCGGTGGCAAAAACCAGAACCCTCCCTCGGCGCTAGAGACATCGAATTGGGAAAGTTGCGAGCTCAGACGTGCCAGCCGCGACGCAACGAGGCCGAGGCCTGGCCGAAGCTCGACCTCGAATCGTTTGCAAACCGCAAAATACCGCAAACCCACTCATCTCTCTGCTACGCTCACAAAACACTCGCACTAGTCCGTGTCTTGCACGGCTGCGAGGTCCAAACGCGCTTCTAAAGCAGCGGCTCTGCCGCGAGCAGTGGCATGTAGCTGAAGGAAGCGATCCTCTACTCCACTGCGCGACTGCCCCAATCAAAACTGAGAGGGTAGCGGGCCCGGGTAAGATAGCCCATTTCCGCCTCAAAGCAGGAGCACGAGGGCAACAAAGTGGCAGGCACAGGTGCATCTCATAACGCCGTGCACATCAGCTGCAGATGCCAAGAAGCTATAAGGGCTTTCGTATCCATCACATCCGCTGTAAGCAGCTCCACAGTATGAGCCACTGCCACCTTACCGTGGCCGAACTTCGGGACCTTTCCTCACATGGAAGAGCTTGTGCGGCTTCTTGTTTCGCCGAGCGGCTGTCCGACATAGCGAGATTGTCGGCTCCTTTGATGACAAGGCAGCCACTTCAGTCGGCGCACCTTCCCTTGAAATGCTTCAAATGGCTGTTGCCGCCAAGACACTCCAAGCAGACCACGACCCTTGTTCCCACGAGCTGCCCGCAGGCCAGTTCGGGCCCTACCAAGCAAAATTGTTCAGATTGCGTCTGCTTGGCCTTACAGCGCCGCTCATCCCAAACCCTTGGAGCAGAGCAGAAATCAGTCTCTAAGTGCCTGCCAGTTCGTGGACCCCGCTTCCGGTGCCGACCAGCCGCCTCCTGAAACATGACATGCTGAGATCATATTGCAGGGCTTACATATCACGGAAGCAGGCGAATGCTCGGAAGGCTGCAG